CTTTCTCTTTCTCTTTCTCTCTCTCTCTCTCTTTCTCTTTCTCTCTTTCTCTCTATTCGGTATTCGAATTAATTACTGCTTCTTCATCGGTTCACAATAATGATCTATGTGCTTTGTGTGCTTTATGTAAAAATTTTCAAAACTTTTAGGATAATATTCCTTTGCTGATTTGCTTATGTGTCTCTGTGTAAATTGACATAAAATTCTCATATAGAAATAAATAGCCTTCCAAGCATTGATGGACGAAAAATTCATTTGAAGTCAGCCAAAGCCTCATTTGAAGTTTCGACTAGTAAATTTACAAGTCATGGGATTTAAAAAATTGTTAATCAAGCCATGAAATATGTGGACATAGTTCGATAACTGATTTCGTGACTTTCAGACGGTCACTCATCGTACTGCATCGCCGATATTAAGTGGATCTATCTCTGAAAGATATGCTGCACTGAAAGAGGACAATGTTATGGTGAGTTTCTTCTACCTATTCATTTGCATAACTCACACAAATAATGGATGATTTTGAAAATGAAGAGCTGAATATTTCGGATGAAATAATCTTCAGTTTCCGAGTCAGCTACGACAAGAACGCCGAATAGCCACGTCCTCAGCGTATATTGTGAAGTAAAGCAATGTAACATTTTGTATATTCCTTCTATTGTTTTGATATGACTAATTGGTTCATTGATTGATTGATTTTGCATCATTTCAATAATATCATTAAGTTATAAATCTCCTAAATATTCCCATGACCTCTAATCTTAATACTATATGAATTTTTGATCATTTGGTCATATTTTAGGAATCATTCCTTTATTGTTAACACATTTTTTTATTGCTCTTTCAAATATTGTGAATATATTGTGATTGAAATATTGTTTATGTGGGATTTACATTTTTTTATAGCAAAAAAATTTGCTGAGTAAATATGTAAATATGTCGATGGCATATTTCTCATATTGTAATTATTAATGTTTTGAAATAGCATGTGAGTTTCGAGGATTAATACTTTGAGAAGCACATTTGATTGACAGTTTAGGACATGAAAAAGTGTATAGGCACATTTTTAGTTTTATGTCGTTGTTGTTGAAATTGCATTATTGGCATGTACAATATCTCACTCCCAATAAGTAACTAGTCTTGAGTGCTTATTCCTAAAGATAGAAAATTTGAAAATGAGCCCATTTCTGGTATGTTGAGGAAACTTTTGTCTGTTTTTTTCATCTTTAATAATATTACATATGCATGTGTGCATGGCCTTGGCCAAACTTCATTTCACTTTTTTCAAAATTTATCAAAAATACGTCAACTATCGCTTTCAGATCTTATAACGGCTTAATTAATCATTCAGTCATTCACTTATGCAAATTAATGATTGATATATCATTCTTTTCGGATGGAATTAATAATATTGAAAATTTTTTCTACTAAAATTGAAAAATTATGAAAGACTGAATGATTTTTCTCGTCCTTTGATATTTGGCCCTCTTTTACCATAAGAATTTTTCATCAAAAGTTGAAAAATCCTATGAGAATTGCTTTAAGTATCATTTCATTTGTCATTTTTTTCAAATTGTCAAAGAAACAGAACGATTTTCGATGATACATTTTCTCCTCACATTTATCACTCCGTATGTGATCGATTCTCAATCAATCAGATAGAAATAAGCTGAAAAAGTTAAAAACATTGCTAATCACATTAAAATAAAAGTTGGAATTTTGGATCAGGAAAATATAATATAAATATCCATAAACACTGATAATTTGAATGTATCAAATCACCTTGAAAGAGGAAATGAAGATGATTTTTTTAAATAATTATCTCTTTAAAACTTTCTTCAATAATACTGATAGAAATTATGGAATGGATTTGCAATTTAAATAAAGTACCAACTTTAGGATTCAAATAATTTATTATGGAAGAGATGAAACATTCGTAAAATTCTAATGTTGTAGAGAAAAGATGATATTTCTAACACTATGATTAGCAGCAATTTGTGTTTTGAAAGTAATTTAAGAATTTCTGACTTTTATACTAACTCTCATTTTCTAGAAAGCTCATATTTTCAGTTGAGTTATGCGTCGAGAGTTCGTGCTTTTCATATTTTTCAATTTTTTGACAAACTGTTTTAAATTATTCATTTGCTTCGATTTAACGATAGGAAGCTGGTGGACATAAAGATTTTCCTTTTTTCAAAGCACTTTCATATCAAAATATTTAATTGAATAACATTTTTAATTGTCACAGCACTGTTCAGTACTCAAAAGTTTAAGTGATATTTAGAAACGTTGAATATTAATTATGGAGTTATGCAAATATATGGTCAATTTAAAAATTTTTAATGACACAATTTTTAGCTGTAATCTAATGCATATAAATTTTTTGCTTTCTTTCCCAAAATTGAATTCAAAATTTAAATGAATTCAAGAAGACTTAACTCCAATACAGTTTTCTTCCTTACAGAAAATTAAGTCATCAAAGTTCATCAGTAAATCACTCCATGTCCATTTGTTCCCATCCATATATAGCCAAAAGGAAATAAAATGCATACTGCTTGTTACTCACTGATCAGAGAGGCAGGTTTGATAAAGAAGAGGAAAACAATTAAATTAATTTAGCCTTTTCTTAGAAGTATTTCTGATTTATTTTCAAGAAATGAATCTGAACATTCACAGATCATACCACTATCATTAAACAATTGAAACAAAAAACGAATTATTTTTAATTAGTAGTAAAGATCCTTCACCATAATTTTCTAATCGATTGATATGAATTTTTATCAATTTTTAGTCTTAACGATGTTGGAAGGCATTTTATATACCTTAAAATTTTTTAAAATTTTATTCACCATTGTGTCAGTTATTTCATTCTTATAATACTATAAATTGTACCTTAAATGGGACATATGAAAACTGATATATTTTACATTTGAAATTAGAATATAAGGTTCAGTTCTAAATTCTTCAGATTTAATTTTGGTATTTTTGACATATTTAGACTTATAAAATTTAAACAAAAATAACATTCATATTCAAAAACTTGCGAAACTTTATCAATATTTTAAATAAAATTTACAATTTCTGTAATAAAAAAATTCTTTCGAAATTTCGTTCCTAATCCTATCAGCTTTTTTTTTTCATTTTTCTTCTATCTTATGTTTCAAACCATGCATCAATGCGCATCTCTTTTTTTAAAAAAAATCCACTTTTCTTAAGAAAATGTTCGAATAACTTTTTTTCTTTTTTCTTATCCAAAAAAAAACTCTCGAGACAAGTTTCAAAGTAACAATGAAATTGCATCATTTTTCTTTCATCTTTTTACTTCACTTAATTCTAGAAGATTTTAAACTGATTTCAGATTTCTGTTTATTGGTTTATATCTCAGACTTGCATCAAATCAAATTTAACTTTACAAGAAAGGGAAAGTCTAAACAACATCTCTTCCGGACAATGCTATTGCTTATTTTTGAAAATTCTCTTTTAATATTTGACTCGTCGTCACCATGTCTTTGAGATGGTGGGCATAAGTTCAGAATTTAAAAGAAGCATTGACATTTTTCGTCTAATGTTCCAAGCCATGCATCAATGCATATCTCTTTTCTCAAAAAATTCCATTTTTCTCAAAAAGTGTCCAAATAATCTTTTTTTCTTATCCAAAAAAAAACTCTCCAGACAGGTTTCGGAGTAAAAATAAAATTGCATCATTTTTCTTCCATTTTTTCCTCCTTCACTTAATTCTCAAAGATTTTATCATCTGCAATCTGCATGTTTCTAACATTTCATTGAATTAGTAATTTTATTAGAGTGATGCATAGAATGTGTTACTCTTCAATTTACACTCTTCTAAATATCATTTTCAAACTTTGAAAAAGAGTAAACCCATGTTAATAAATCAAATTTTATCGTTGTAAGAAGAAGCAAATAAAAGAGAAAAGGAAATTTTCAGAATGCAAGCCGAAGCCATTAAATGAATTTCATTCTCTCAGAAATCCACCGAAAAAATGTTTGTGTTAAAAGAATAGAGTATGAGGAAATTTAAGGCCAATTTAGGTGAGATATTATTAGACGTATTCCCGAATCGAAAAATCAAATTGCCTCATTTTTGGGCATATAAATTCTTTTGACTTACGAGTTAATTGAAGTTGAGAGGAACAGAATGGATCGGTTATTCATGGATTAAGTAAATTATGGTTGTTCAATCCCTTTTCCAACAATTGTTTTTTTTTGGTTATTGCAATGATAAATTAATTTGGCACTGTATTGATTCCAATTTGGAGCAAATATCTTAAGCCTTAAGCCTAGGCCATGAAATATGTAGTGTTGTTGACCAAAGCAAAGGACAATTGTGTGTGTTGGCCATTTTTAATGTTCAAAAACAATCAGTTGAAAAGTGATTAACTGCTTCGCTTAACTTCTGTTTATTTCTTCTCATTTCATTCGCTTACTTTAATGTGATAGTGATCGGAAGAAGCTATCGAATCACATTTTTATGGCTATCTGTGATCGATCTGAAATAGACCCAAATTTGCTTTATTCATTTCATCGGCTTCAATTGATTTCAGTTATTGAACATTCGTTTCTTCAATCATTATTTCACCAAGAAAATTGTGTTTTTAAGGATTTCCAAGAAAGTCCATTTATTGAGAAGTTAAATAGTATAATTTAGATTGATTTTTAGTGATGGTAATTTTTAGTGATGATTTTTGGTGTTGTCAAGCATTTACCGCCTCATTATGGGTGATATAACGGAAATTAACAGTCAATGAAACATTCAATAGATCGTTCTGAAATAACAAATAATTCGATTAGTGAAGCACAATTGAATCATTTGAAATGTATCTTAAAATTAGTCACAAGAAGGACTGAAAATTGTTAAGCTATTTCTTTGCAAGCTTCATTCATGAGCTATCACTATGACTGAACTGAACCAAGTGATAGGTTATTCAATAAATTTCAAATTATAAAATCTAATTTTGTTAGTTCTATTACTTTGAAGAAAGATCGAAAAGAATGGACCGAACAAAACTATCAAATTTTTGAAATGCAGGAAGCTTGGTGGACAACGATTTCATCGGTAAGTTAATGAACTTTGAAAATTTTTTAAATCACACTAAAATTCATTTTAAAATGTTCTTTTGAGCTTCCTGCTGGGATATTTGAAATTGATCGTATTAATTTCAAATCTGTAGCCAACATTAGCGTCACTTCTTCCGGAAATTGAATTGAAAGATTTAGGAAAAGCATATGCATTTCGTTTGAGGCAGCTATTTTTCTCATTTCAAACTGTTGCAACTTTCTTACTTTATCCTCAATACTAAATTATTTTTTGATGTTGTTAGAAACAAAAGCTCAGTTTTTGTGCTTGATTTCATCGATTCTTCCTTTCTTGTTTAAATTCCTTTTAAAATTTTGCATTTGAAAAAATTTCAAAAGTGTGCTATGAATCCTTGGAGATTTGTGCATTTTTGAGCGCTAATATTTCTAGCGCATAAGCATTGTTTTTGATGTAATTAATTTACGGACAAATAACGGCTATCCATAATCTCTTACTTTTTTTTATTATACATCAATTCACTTTTTGTTTTTAAAGACGAGAATTATGAAAGAGTAAGGGGAGGAAAGAAATAT